GTGGGTTGGAAGAAAATATTGGGCTTCTGTGACAGCTTACAAACTGTTTATTATCATGTTTGTTTTAGGTAAATAAGAACTTCTGTTAATGCAATAAGCATGCTTAATGAAACGTGTTAATTCAAACATTAACCAGCAAGTAGCTGTATGGTAGAAAACATGTACTCTTAACCTTAGATCTCGGGTCTTAAGAGACCTTAAATCTCTTAGAAAATTGACCAGTGAAATTACATTGTAAACTAATAATTAGTCTTATAAGAGGGCCAAGTGTAGTAATTAAGGAAGATACAGAAGTATGAAAACATGCTTAGTATATGTAGAAAGAACAGTCTGAGTCAAGAGCCTATCTTGAGCTCAGGATATAAGAGCTGGGTAGATGGTTTAAGACTTTGCTAGGGAATACCTTCTCTGACTGCTTTTGGAATGTATTAGATGAGTGGTTTCCTCAGTGAATAAAGTCAGACGAGCATCTACCATAGGTGGTTGAAGTTGGCTGTGGGGAGGTGGAGGGCAAAGCCGATGGCACTGGGAGGGCAGGGCAGGAGGCGATGGAGGTGCCCCTTTGCTGTGCACCCGAGGCAGCCACAGCTGCTCAGAGGAAGGTTGTACACACGAGTGGGCTTTCACAGCACTGCCAGAGGGGGGTTGCTGAAGTGGAAGCAGCAGCACATCTCGAGGAAGGCAGGAGACCTCTCCTCTGCAGCAGAGGCACCACACGGGCCATGACCACCATGGGGTGACCAGCCCTGTGTTCAGCCTGAGCTGACCAGGAGGATTTCCAAGAAGAGGCAGATTGGCTGTGTCCTGTCAGTGGGGAAGGGAATATACAGATGGCAACAGTGCTTCATATCCAGTATTTTACCCCTTGTTTCAGCACCTTCATCTCTGAAGTCCTGTCAGTCCTTTCAGCAGACCTGAAATCACACTGTTGGTCCTCAGCTGCTGTGACACAGCAGGGGATGAAGGAATTATGGCGTGGGGCAAAATACGCTGATTTTTCTGTTGGGGAGTTCACAATTTACTGCCACCTGCAATTAGGATCAGCAGATACCGTGGAACATGAAGTCATGGGCCAGAAGATCCCAGCAGGATTTCCCCCTTAACAGAGCACTCTCTCATCCCCCACTACCTTTGCTCTGGAGCCTGTATACCCCATAACAGTAAGAAGAGAGCAAGGAATTAACAGATCTTTTCTACAGAGAAGGATGATTTCATTTTTTTAGCACTTTGGACTGTGTGGCACTGTTGCATTAAGAATGTTTATAGTTACATAAAGAAACACAGGCATCCCTTGTATTAAATATGCTTTTACAGGTAACAGCATATCTGTAAGGACTATTCTATAATATGAATAGTCCTTATATGAGACTCTCAATAATATAATATGAGACTCTCAATAAATGTTGGAGTGTGATAAATTCAGAGACCTAGGAAAAGATTGTGTATGAGATTGGATTAGCTGGGGCAGTTATTGGTGAGCATTCTGGTCTTTAATTACAAAGACTTAACGAAGGAAATACAAGGAAGTGGAAGTAGTTTTGCATTTTGTATTATGGAAAATGTGAAGTTTAGACAGCTGGTGTTGATTGTCATAACTCATTGGCTTCAGTGGAGCTGACAGTTTATGCCAGCTCAGGATCTTCCCCTGTGCACGATAATTTTAGTACCTACTTCAGTATCTGTAATTTAGTACAACAACTGGTAGTGTCATTCCAGATCAGTTTTAGCAAGGACATAAATGAGGAACACTTCCCCTCCTCTTTCCAGTTCTATTTAGTATTTTGTTTAATATTTTAACACTGTTTTCCTCTCCTTAGTTCTCTGGCTGCAAGTAGTGAGTTGCCAGCTCTGACAATGTGGTTTTCTTATATAATGGAGTCTTCCCTGCAAGTAGATCACAAAGAGGAGACAGATGGTAAACGTAACTTGGTGCCATGAAGGGCTTATTTATAACTCACAGGACCCAGCAGGAGAGCAGGGGGCCTCCCAAAAGGAGACATCACAGAGGAACTGGACCTCTTTTAAAGTCCTGGCTTCATAGTCCTGCTGTAAAGAGTAGTGTTCAGTCCAGGGAAATGCTGGTATTTGTCGTGTCTCCTGTGAGGATGTTATTCACAACTCTGAAAATCAAGAATTTTTTTTTAAGAAAAGGAAATTTTATTATTTATGGGAAGTCTGGGGTTTTTTTTAATCTGGTTAAAGCTGCACAACTTTTTTTTTTTTTTTTTTTTCTGGGGTTTTTTTTAATCTGGTTAAAGCTGCACAACCTTTTTTTTTTTTTTTTTTTGTATCAATTGAGGACTCTGACCTCCTTTCAGAAATGGAAATTAATTAAATTTAAGGAGATGAATTTCAGGACTTGTGAGCCATCAAACCTGTGTCCCCTGGATGTTTTGGCTTTTTGTGTTCACTTTATTTTGCCTGAAGTAAGGTTTTAGGGAGGCTGCATGAAAAATTGAAAAAGTGCTGTGATCAAAACAGCACTTTTCAGATCAGATCATATCGGAGGTGATTGCTTATCATTTGCAGCAAACAAATAAGATAATTGAAAACACTTCTTTTTTTTTACAGAACATTTCTAATCTGTTGCCTAGTTTCCTGTGCATTATTGGTTTTGTATTAAATTTTCACTTGAACTTTGAGATTTTTTTTTTTTTTGAGTGAGAAGCTTCAGTAAGGAGCTCTTACAGCTTCTCCTGAGATATGCTGATCTTGGGAAATAAGAGATGAGACTGCATCTTAAGCTTCATAATAGGAGGCAAAATAGTTTCTGAGGTATCTATACAAGTAGATTTGTGTTGCCTCAAAGAATAAGCATTGCTTTTATTAGATGAGCTCTGGGGGAAAATTCTTACTGCAAAGCAAGAATACATATGTATATACACACAACTTAAAAATGTAACTGGTTCATCTCAAAAGGGAGTTAGTAGGTCAAGGTTTCTTGGGTTGGCAAATTTATTACTGCACACTTTTGCAAAGCTATTGGCAGGTTAGGAAGTCACTGTTCTTCCATGACATGGAAGGTGTCAGGATTTTTTGATGTAGCCACTTGGGTTTTCCCAGAAAGAAGACCTGGACTGTGACCCTCTCCTGGTGATCAGGCAGATCCAAAGGAGCTTAGGGCCACAGCTGTAATTCCTGGAGCAATGGTCACTGCCACACAAGCCAAAACTCAAGGAGTGTTCCTTTTTTTCTTAAACATTTTGGATTGTCTTCACTGCAATTTACTGCTCTGCCTCGAGGGGTGCCCAAGGTGTGTCCTGCTGCTGGTCCTGCTGAGGCTTAGTGGCCACGGAGAGGGATGAAAGTGCAAACATGGATGGTATCATGTTTAGCAATGCTCTGCTGCTTTATAGCCATATCTTTCAGCATCAAAGGTGCAGGTAGGATGACTTGCAGAGGCAAAATGCCACGGAGCCAGCTGGCTAACCTTCAAACATATTAAGAGCTGGTGATGCCAACAAGCTGGAAAGCAGCCCAAAGTAATAGCAGATATGGCAGAATTCCACATGGCAGGAACAGCTCTGCCATCCTCCAGGCCAACAGCCTGTTGGACTGGCACAATTTTGGAAGTTTAGACAGCAGGAATCCACAGGGAAAATTACTTCCAACATTTGCACTTTTAAAGAAAATTTCAGATTTGTTATCCCACTGTCAAGGGGTCCAGGCAATTGGAGCTATCAGGAAGGTTCAAGACAAAGTCTTGACTCGTAAACATCTTCTTACAATTAACTGCACATTCTGAATCAGACATTGGAAAGGGCTGTTTTCAAATGGCTTTAAGATGAAGCCACATCAACTGGGTTTGTTGCTGCAGTGAAGATTAGAGGTGCCCTTCTCCTGAGTTGTTCAGGTGAAATGGAATTTCTTGGGAAAGATTATCTTTGGGACTTACCTCTCTGCTCCAGCCCTGTGTGAGGGCTGCCAGGTCTCCATGTCCTGGGCTACCCCAGTGCATGGATTGCACCAGTGCATGACATTCCTTTGTTTTCTGGTGGGTTCCTGGCACTCAGGGGATTGATAGAGCACAGATAGCAGGAGCACTGCAGTCATGTTATGGTTTCTTTTCTCCTACAAGCTCAGATAGACTGGAAGGTGAAAAAAAAAAAAGGAAAGGGGGGCAAAAAAAAGAAGGAAAATCTAAAAGAAAAGACAAAGGCTTGTCCTGAACTTGAAGTGCCTTTCTGTTTGGTTCCTAATAAATACAGTGCACTTTAAAATTTCTAACAACACACCAGAGCTTGGCTCCAAGCTGGTTTGCTTTTTTTTTTTTTAAATGGAAATTAAAACCCAATATCTAGAACTATATAGAGGAGTTATGAGCATGAATAGTGAATCATAAGCTTGTTCTTTTAATTACTGTGGCACACTTAGAACCTATTCATGTCTTCAAAAGCCTCAGAGGACCAAGTGAAATTGTGATACATTGATTTCAGCCTATGCAACCTTATTTACAGGAAGATGGTTAAAGCATCATTTAAAAGGAAAAGGAAGGAATATAACTACAACTGTTTCTTTCAGGTAGAAACAGAAAGCAATCTTAAAACATACCAGGTGCAGAGCACAGTACAGTAACCATGAATGACATTGCACAGAAAACTGAGGTAGGTACCTATTTTAAAGTCATCAAAGCAATGCAATAATTTACTACTGATGCTTGCAAAAGTAATAATTACAGAAAAATTGTAATAGACATTTATACTGGAATGCTGCTATTGCTGTTATTTGATAGAGTCTGTGAATTATGTTCTTACTGTTATTAGATAAACATGGAGGGGGAAGGCAAAATAAAGGCAACAAAATACAAAGAAACTTTCAGTGTTGATGGGGTAATTCTGGACAACATGTCACCTGCTGAAAGGTGACAAAATATGAAACATGGAATGTTTTCAGCCAGTTTTCTCAGTATTTATTACTTTATTTAGAACACTCTTGTCATCATCACTGTAAAAAAGAGAAAACTTCCCAGCAGTTCTGAGAAGTGGGAACTTCTCCTGCTGTTTGGGCACCCAGAGAGTAGCACTGGCAAAGAAATGTCCATTTGCTGTATCAGTATCAGAGTCCTGCAATCTTTGCACTTTATAACATAAAATCACTGGGATTCTCTGTTTCTCTAAATATTAAGAAAGTGAGCATGTAATGCACTGGGAGTTTGAAGTTAAGAAATACTACTATTTATTTAAAAAACTGTATATGGCTGCTGAAGTGTTGCAGAAACCCCTCATTACATATTGTATTATACATCTATGACTTTATATCTGTTTTAAGTGTTGGGGGCAGAGGGGCTCTGGTGGCTGCTTAGGATTGAAAGCAACAATCTAAATCTGTAATTAATGTTTAAAGCCCCAGTACCTGAGAATGTACATTCACACAGTTCATATACTTGTTTTGCAGCTCTTCATTGCAATTGCTTATAGCCTAAGTTTAATGTAATGCTAAATGTTTTGGTTCTTTTAATATTTATTGCTATTTATGGCTTAACTGATGATGGCTCATGGCACAAAGTTCCTAGTAGCAACTGCACTTCTGTTTTATGTTCTCACATTCTTTCTAATCCAATCTATCAGAATATTTCTGTCCATCTGCTTCAACTTTTCTTTTTTTCTCTTATCTTCATTTCTTCTATATCTTCACCAAGATTCTGCTTTCTTCATCTAAACCCGTCCAAAAGTCCTATGTGCCCAAGCTTCACAAGGGCGATGTAAAGGATAAATTTGAAGCAATGCAAAAAGCAAGGGAAGAAAGAAATCAAAGGAGATCTAGAGATGAAAAGCAAAGAAGAAAAGAACAATATGTTAGAGAGAGAGAATGGAACAGGAGAAAGCAGGAGGTTGTTTTCTTTGCTAATATTTTGTGTTAATATTTGACATTCTGCCTGAAAATCTATTCACATTATTTTAAGACAATAACATTGGGATTTTATTAGTTATAAAGACAGTTTATTTTCTGTGTTTCATCAACTAGATGAAAGAACTGCTCGCATCTGATGAAGACGATGACACCAAATTATCTAAAACAGAAAAAGGTTATGTCCCAAAACTAATAGGTAAGAGAGGCCCAACTTTAAAGTCACCTGACAAGTATTAGATGGAAGTATTTATCAGTGTATTTCACATCCACAGGGACTGTTAAAGGCAAATTTGCAGAAATGGAGAAGCAAAGGCAAGAAGAAGAAAGAAAAAGAATGGAAGAAGAAAGGAAGCGCAGAATCGAACAAGATATGATTGAGAAAAGAAAAATTCAAAGAGAATTAGCCAAAAAAGCCCAGGAGGTATGTTGATCTGATCACACCAGGCAGGGTACAATTGGAAGCAAACAGCCACAAATTAAAGTTTTGTATTGATCAGAAAGATTCAATCTTAAGATTTCTGACAGTGGTGATTTACGTGATGCTCAGTGGGATGGAGGTGGGAAATAATGTTCAGAGACTCTTCCTCTTCACTTCTTTACAGTAAATCTTTTTTTAAGCTCTAAAACTGAGCTACAGATGAAACCAGGCAGGCAAAAATGTGGCAGGAACCAGGCACAAATTTTGGTGTCCTATGCAAACAAGAGTTTATAGTGTTTGCTAAACTAATTTGAAAATGTTTCTTATATTTTACCAACTCTTACTTTTGCTTGTAACATGAGCCAATTGTTATTTAACCAAACAACAGTAATACGTAACTTAGGTTTGAATTTGTTCTAAGAAATGAAAACTGGGAGTCAGTTTTCAGACAGTGTTTTCTACTAAGGCTTTTAACATTGTTACAACTGTGCTTTTAACTGGCAATGTATCTACCATATTTTTAATCTACTCTGCAAGGCAGAAGTACATACATGTAGAATTTTAGAATTAACATGAAGCAAACATTTGGCTTTGGTGGTTTTTGCTTTTGTTTGGTTTTGCCTTTGTTTGCTTTTGTTTGTATTTTTTTTGTTTGTTTTGTTTCTGTTTCACACAATTCTGGAATGCTTAAATGAAGACTCAAGTACACTTCTTAGTTCAGCCCTGCCCTGTTAAAATGCTGTAGCATATTTTCTCTAGGATGTTTTATGTCACGTTGCCTCTTCCTCCTCAAGCATTCCAGCCAAGGTCCAGTCCTTATCACCCCTGGGAATTTAAGTGCTACCTACATATCTCTGATAAAAAAAGAATTTCCAGTTCTGTGTTTGCAACTCTAAGGCAAAGAGCCAAAGTAATGTAATCCTATGAAATTCTCATTTAATAGATTGAGGACTTAAACAATACGGGAACTGAATCAGCAGCTGAGGTAATCAGATTTTTTTAAAGAAATGTTCACCTACATTTTTATTCACTTTTGTTTTATTGTTGTAATTTGGGTTGGGAAAACTTCGAAAAGGGCACACAAATACCTGCTTAAAGTTCAACCAAGGAGCTAACAAATTTTTAGAGTATATGGAACTAGATGTCTGTTCTTGAAATCAGTATATTGAATTTTGAAAAAGAGCCTGCACTGTGAATACTTTGTGGTTAGTTAAAAAGATCTAAAATGTAAATATTCAAAGCCACCAGAATTATTTGATATATATTGGTAATGATACTCTAAGTCCTCTGGCTTTGGAAAGAATCATCTTAAAAGCTCTTTGCCTTAAACTTGAAATTAAAAGGGGCTTCTGACAACATACAGATGTTTGAACACCTCACTCAGTGAACTTTTTTTTTTTTTAATTGACTAATTTACCATTTGGATTTTAAGTCTTGAAAATAAATGTTTAATTTCAAAAAGCTGGGTCCAAAGGTCCTATTGTCTTTTACTAACACAAGAAGATCACACTCCTACTACAGTTTTGGAAAGCAAAAAATACCCCTCAGAATCCATTAGCTTTAACTTATTTGACAGTGTCCCTGTTAATCCCGGTATTCTGTGGAGAAAAACAAAAAAGGTAAAATGTATTTTGGCAAGTAAGTTGCAAAAATAGCTTTGAATCAGCAAATTCCTTCAAAAAACAATTACTGTGCCTGAGAAATTACAAATTGCCCTCTAGAGCCACTGGCTTATTCCAGCCACAGTATTTCCTTTACATGGTAAATGTTAAAACTGGAAGTGGAGTGTGGTTACAGTTGCTGTGTGTTCAAAATTACACCTGTTCTTTTCCAACCCATGAGTTTTTATAACTAACAGTTAGTGAAAATATGTAAAGAAATCAAGGAGTTTCCCAGCAGTTATGTTTAAGATATAATTCAGTCTTGACACTCTTCAGCTATTACAAGAAAAGCAGTGAGTGCCACAGGCAGTTGGATTTATTCTCGTGGTTAATACTCAGTACAAGTAAATCTTTTGGAAGCTTTGGTGCACACAGGTTAAACCAGCAGTTTCATTAAGAAATGAGTTTATTTATATGATATCTAATAAATATCTTTCTGGACAGGAAGGGGATGATTCACTCCTAGTTACAGTAGTGCCTGTGAAACCCACCAAGACACCTGGGAAGGTGAAAATAAACTGTGAGAACCCAGGAAAGGAGAGAGCAGAGGAGGAAGAAATGAAGAATGAAAACCAATCCCTGAAGGAAACCAAGTGCCTTTCATTTGTCATGGTAAACCCCCCATCCCCAAACACCCACAGAGCAGATAGTTATCAGCTTAAGATGCAACTGTTTCATTTTCCTTCCCCAGGGTGAGAATGAAAGCAGTGCCCCCCCGGAGTCGGTGTCTCCTGGGAAGCTGAAGGTGACGTTTGAGGAGCTGGAGAGGCAGAGGCAGGAGAGCCAAAGGCGGCAGGCGGAGGAGGAGGCGCGGCAGCGGCTGCAGGAGGAGAGACGGGCCTTTGAGGAGGCCAGACAGCGAATGGTGAGGGCAGGGCTGCTCCTCAGCAGCATCCTGCTTTTTTCTTACTCCTCAACCACATTTCGAGCTGTTAAGAGTCTGAAAATGCCTTTCTGCAAGATGCATTTTTAGCCTTAGCTCAGTAATCACCCAGTATTTCATTGTGCTTTCCACATTCCTTTAGTCAACCCCACAAATACAGGTGCTTGAATTGTGCCAGCAATCTCAGTGGGTTTGATATCTACACTTTGTAGTCCCTTCAGCTGTAAGTCTTCCTGAGGATTACTGTCTGTTGTGTTCTTAATTAGTGCTGCAGATGTTTCAGTGACCAGGTTTTGATGCAAACATTCTGTAGGAACAGAATCCCGTTTCTTATTCCCATATTTATTTGTCATCATGATTAGGCTTTGTGAACGGAGATTTGGGAAGGGCTCTACCCACGTTTGTTGCATTTATTTGTAAACATATAGAAATAAATATCAATTACAACTCTCCTCTTAGGAAGAACGGGCAAAAAAGACAGACCAGCTCAGCTCCCTCGTATATATTGACATAAACAACATACCATAAATGACTTGATTAAGTCTCCAAACTGTCAGAAATGTAGCTCACAATTTATATACCTTGCAGAACCACCTCCATATGTGTTCTTTATCATGAGGCAGAGTTACTTTAGATCACCTCTAAACAGACCTCACCGTAGTTTGTTCTTGGATCACACTGAGGGAATCACACACTATTAACCAAAGATCCAGCAGACAGTTTAGTTCTGTATTTCCTCGTTTTTACCACACTCCATTGCCAAAAGCAATTCTCAAGTTCTGTATTTGAATACTTTTCCCCTGTGCAGTCATGATCACTGACTTTGTTAATTCATATAAAAAATTCACATACAAACAAGATTAACAAGAAATGAGGTTTTAATATTCTGCAAAAACTGGGAAAATATTATTTATAGGAATTTGCTAATTTCAACAGACTGCAGTTATTGAATGGACATTCTCAGACAAACAGATCAAGAGCACTATATTGACTATACTTCAGAAACATTCAAGAAATGTATATTCTACACAGACAAACCTAAACAAACCCAACACCACAGAACCTCCAGAAAGCTGAAACACAGAAATTCTCAACTGGTCCACACTGAGAGGGTTCTGGGTTTAGGCAGATACCCAAATTGTAGTTTACTGCTCCACCTCCACCAAATCCCTTAGCTTGTTCACACCAATAACATGGTCATTATGCCAACAATGCACCTTGTTCTTTTTGTCTGGGGTTGGGCAGCAGAGGAGGAGAGGGCAGACAATGACAGAGTGAACTCCTTGGAGTCATGAGCTGCTCTAACTGAGGTGCAGTTCCCACCCCCCGCCCTCATGTCTATGTTTTTATTTACCAACCAGTATAAAATAATGTACAAATTGTCTGCATCAAAAGAAGTCTTCTAACATGTGGCTTTATCTGCTATGCAGTGGTTGCCAAAACTGGAGGTAATAATTTTTCTCAAGTACTCTGGGGTGTCCTCTGGAGGGGGTTTGGTCTTTTGTCCTTGATTGCAGTTTGCAAAGCACAGGCTCCTCTTAGCAGGTGAGTGTCCACTGGAGACAAGCTACAGTGAGGAGATCACAGTATCTCAATTCCCTTTCTTCAGTGATGATTAAATGGCTAAAAAGAAAAGAAATAAAAATCTCAGTCTGGAATAATAGCAAAACGTTAATGAATTGATTCAGTTTTTCTATAAGACTCTACAGCATTTTTTCAACTGGTGCACTGGTGAGAACAATTTCTATGCCAACAAAAAGACTTGATGGTATAAAGGTCTATGGAAGTGATGTAAATAAACTGAATAGGGAGTGATTTACAGTAAAGATCCAACCCCAAGATCATAAAGTAAGTACTTAACTGTCCAGCCTTTTCCTTATAACACATGGTTTGTTCTTTGAATTACACACCCAATAGATTTTTGAAAACTACAGAAGCTACATATAGGATACTGAAAATTTCCCTTCTCCCTCCCTTGGCTAAAACCAAGATTAAAATGTTTCTCTTAGGAACCAAACTCTTGCTATATTTTTTCCTCAAGGAGAAAACAACATTTATAAGAGATCAGAAAGGAATTAATGGGGTATTTATTCACTATAAAGAATATTTTTATGTTTGGGTAAGTCCTTTCTATTTTTTCCTCTCCCCCTTTCTCTGAAGATAAATGAAGGTGGGGATGAAGAATCTGAAAATTCTGTTAAAGAATTCCGCCCTGGGAAACTCAGACTGAGTTTTGAGGAGATGGAAAGACAGAGGAGAGAAGAGGAGAAGAGGAAAGCAGAGGAGGAAGCGAGGAGACGCATAGAGGAGGAGAAAAGAGCATTTGCTGAAGCGAGGAAGAACATGGTATGGGATTCTGGTTTAGTGCATGATTTCATTGGTACCTAAGATTCAAACAAACTGGAAAGAAACTCTGGCAAAAAGCTTTAAATGGAGTTAGGAATGTTTGCTTCAATTCCTTCCTTCATTAATTCCCCTCCCCACTCATTAGGAGGTGATGGGGGAACTAATCAGGTTCATTTACCCAAAATCCTCAATCCTCACAGAACAGTCCCTCCTCACATCCAGCCTGGAGAGATTCCAACTGATTGAGTCAAACCCAGAGATTCCATCCAATGGGTATTATTATGCCAGATGCAACCAACTTGGAAAGCAAAATGTTCTCACTAGGAGGGTTTGTTGGGGTTTTTTTGGGGGGAAGAGCAATTCTTTTACCAGCTCTGGGTTTCTCTCACACCTTTACAGGGTGTTCAGCAATCATCTCTTACAGCTGGAGCACAATTAATGGGATCCCAGTCAGAGCAATGAATTATCCAGTCACCTGGGGCTCTTCAGGAAGGAAAAATGAGGAAGGCTGAACCCAGCTGACTGAAATGTAGCTTTTAAAGTATTTCAACACAAAAAGTAACTCGTGGCATTTCCCATCAGAACAATTTTAATACGGGTCTTCCTGAGATAAATGCAGATCTCTGTGACATGCAAGGACTTCTAAAGTTTGAGTTAAGATGATGCAGAAGACAAATTTTCAGGCTAAGGAATGACATACTGACATTAGCTGAAAGCAGAGGGAGATGACCAATTTCAGAGGGTGGCAACAATATTATTTAGTAAAAAAAAACCCCTAGCATGGAACTTTTAAGTGCAGTCTTCATCCTTACTCCAACCACCTCAAGTCTCAGCAGGCTTGTGGGTATAAGCCAGTTACTTACTGGTGGATATAAGGAAATACAATATTAAATTACCCAAACAGAAACTAAAAGGAAGTAGTGTTTGTTGCAAAAGGAAGGGCAGGACTGGCCAGTACACAACTGTGGAATAACCCAGTTATTTTATGAAAAGCCAGCAGAGAACTAAAGGGAAGCAAGGACATGTGTCTGGTTTTTGTTTTCTTGAGAAACACTTTTTTCAGCCTCAGTGCAGCAATAACCTCACTGATTGAACAGGGTTTAATCCATTAGCTGCAGCACAGAGACTGTGCACTGTGACTCCAGGCACTAAAAATGGTCAGCAACTAAAAAAATTAACTGAAAATCTATGCTCCCCACCACCAGTGTGATGGCTTTCAGACTGAAACAGGGATCTCTCATCCCCATCAGTCTCGTTCTGTTAGAGACTGCAAAAAGAACCTGTCTTAGCAGAAATAGTAAAGAAAAAATTCTACTTTCTCAGTCCCTGTTTGCCCTTGGAATATTGGCTGACTGTGCTGCAAACTGGGATTGTTACAGGAATGTTTCTCACCACCAACTGTTCCCACTTTGCAGGAAAAAAAAAAGTATGGCCTCATTTCACAAAATATGGCTAAAATATTGGCTGACCTAACCACAGGGGTTTTGTACCT